ATTCTGTGTAAGTGTATCCCTAAATAAATTCAAAACAGTAATTCCAAATCTATTCATTAACTATCTAACAAAGTTATTTGTATTTGAATCCTTAACCTGCCATTTCTTCTCTGTCAGAGTGGTAAGAGTTTTATCCCCAACATTCCAGGACCTTGTTCAAAGGATCCATAAAACAGGTTATACATTTGAAAGCACCCAAGTGTTTGATCAGCCAGTGTAAGAATTGCTATAGGTATTTTATAATTTAGTTAAAGGGTAGAAATTGTGAATGGGGAAAATGGGATGAAAGTCTCCTGATTCTGTTCACTCCTCTGCCACTACTCCCACCCAGGGGTACTTTCCCTGCCCTTCAGTATGAAAAAACTGCAGATTTATGATCAACAAATGACTATGCATTTTTGCTCTTCTCTCTGTCTTTCCATCATTAAAAACTCTCTACTTCCTTCCCTTTACTCTCATTCTTCTCGTACCCTTACTGTTCCCTATTCTCCTGGACTCTCCCTCTTCCATTCTCCCTCTCCCTATAAGGAGTACCTTGTCAACCCTAATTAATTTTCCAACATCCTAGAGGGAAATTAAACCAATACCGATTTTGCCAAAAAGCTTGAGTGAAACGTATCAACAAGAAAGTAAAACACTTAGAAATTCACCAGCAGTAGAATTGCTAGGTGTTCCAATTAAATCAAGGAAGTCAAGCTTTCGTGAACTAACGCAGTCTTCCAGAAAATACACCGCTAGTGTGTTTGTTCGGTGTAAGAGAGTAAAGTAGATCTTGTGTTGAGAATATTTTAGCTTTTTTTTTACATTTTTCAAACCTTTCTTTGTAGAAGGATTCCTTTAACCTCTCCCAGAATGTACGTTTTGAAAAATCTTCGTCACCTCTTGCAGACATCTTGCACCATGAATATTGTTCTCACGAGTTTTTGTGGTCAGGAAATGTACAGGGTAATTTTAAATCATTCTCCACTATTTATCGTGGAATCAGGCGGAAAAGAAACAATTCGACAGCGTATTATAATTAACTATACCTAAGTAGTCATTGCAAGTTGATCAATGGCAAAGTGTTCAATTGTTTAGCTTCAAAATGTGTTCTTGGACGAATTGAAGGATTCAGGAAGCCATCTTGGCCGAGAAATGTGGGGAACTGAGGCTGAACCTAATCCTTAGAGCCAGTCCCCGAATGGTCATGAATATTGCTCAAACCTCAAATGAGGTGAAATAAATTTACCATTTGAAGAAGTAACAGTTGCATAACGACAAGCGATTTTCCGAATTCAACCGACCAACTGGATGAGCTTGCGCGCACCATTCGTCCTTCTAGCGTTTCCTCCTTATCTAGCTTGCAAACGGAGAGATAATTCAAATAATGACTGGGTACCCCACAACCTCCAGAAAATTACCGCTGACAAGAAGCCAAAATGACCCTGTGTTCGAAATTGTGCGCTTCCTTATACAATGTTGAATTTTGTGGTGATTATATTGCGTAAATTTGGTGTCACCATCTCGTTCGAATTGGCTAAAAAGTATACATTTATATATATTCGGATGCAGGACATGTTTCAATAAATTTTCCAATAAGCTTTGACCACCATTGTAGATACAAACGGGATTTCCGCTTCAGTTAAAAGTGTTTCACCACCCATGCAAATTAACAAGTTAAGAGAATAGAGAACATGTGTGGCAAATAATCCAATACCCTGCCAAAATATTTATTTGGTTATATTTCATTTCCATGAATAAACATCTTCACAGTTTTCAATCACAGTCTTTTATAGTAATTATAGTAATAAATCCTAGAAAATTCCTAATCTAAATTTAATTAAAAAAGGAGAGACATGACCCGAGCAAGGCCATAACGCGAAAACGGGCAAAAAAACTTTAAGCGGGGTGGGGGAAGGAACTGCCTTCGCCTGACATCCGCTTAGCTCACGAAAAAAAAAGACTACTACGCAAACAAAATGGAGAAGACAAAATTTTTTGGGGGATTGCCCTGGAAATAAGTTAATTACGAAGCTCCTTGAGACGGTATGGTTTATCCATATATATAAATAGCAAAGAAAAGCTGCATTAGATACTTTCAGTGTTAAACTGACAAAAAAAAAAGAGATGTTACATCTACACGAGACACATGCTTGGCATCTTTAGGACCTAAAGTAATATGCTGTCTTCCTTTCACAACAGGACAAGTGAAACGGAAGTTTCATTTGCGTCAATAGCCGTAGAAACCATAAGTATTTTATCCACACTATGGAAAACTCTCTGAGTTAATACCATTTTTTTTCCAGGCAACAGTGTCTCGAATCTCCTTCCCAGTAGATCTTTGGGATGTCACGCAACACGCATCTTGACAGAAGCTTCTTTTAGGGAGTGTTGCGTAACATCCCGAAGAATGGATGCAAACAAGACTACGTAGTTTTCCTATTGAATAATGAATGATTCGTGGCGTTTGCATTTAGTTTATAGCGCCGCTGACAATATGCCTTGGGCGCAGTTTCCCACGCCACGTGCGTAGTTTGAGCGTTACTTACAGGATTTTTTTTGCCGTTTTTTACCGAGTTAATTTTAGCGAAGGATTTTAGGCTGTGTCAGAAGCAATAACTTCGAATCGTCGCCGGATAAACCCTTATTTGTTATTCGTTTTTATTATCCTGTACAAGAATACAAGGAATCAGACGCAGAGAAGTTGTTGTGTCTTATTTATTCTGCCAAGCGTAGCTGGCCCCTACAAATATTATAAAGTTTTACCTGTGGTACGATTCCTTAGTATACAAATACTACAACGCTGGACGTCAATTTTATGTCAAGCGTGGTAAATTACGTGAAAAATAAATGATGTACCCAAAGATTTATTTTAAAACTATGTGAGGCATATTTTAAAATTTCTTGAGATACATATTAGTTACCTTGGTTATTAATTTTACGTTGTTAAGTGTTTTAATGTTATTAGAGAATAACCATTATTCACCGCCTTGAGGGGAAGCATCACTTGGTTCGCGATTTCTTGATACGAACTCCGAAGGCAGCTCTACAAAATACTGCAGCCACAGCAGCATTGTTGGGGGTAGTCTGGAGCATATACCTTGTGATCATGACCGTAGACCCAGAAGCGGCTTGATTGCTCCTTCCATTGGTAGGCAACCTCGGACACGGGTACTGCTCGCAGCTGTTGACGCTGAAGACAAAGACATATTCATAGCTAGTTAGTGGGGCGCGTATGTTTGGCATTAGGGAGGAAACAGGTGGACAAACCACGCAGAGTGGACGGCAGCAAGAATCTCCTCTGTCAAAGCGTCGTTTTAAATAGAATTTGTAAGCGTATCCACCAAATTACCATGAAAGTCACTCAGCAATAGGATCGTTGACACACTATCATCGAAATCGCAGTCTTCTAAATAGCATACCACATCTACTTTCGATTTAATTTGCTGAGGCGCGTTTTTACTTGTCTACCCAAAGATGGGAAATTAGAGTTATTAATGTGGTCAGGTATAGCTATTCATATGAAAGACCTATCTACCTGCATAAGAATGCTCTTGGCTGGCCACTTGTTGCTGTGTTCGTCTACAAGCCTCTTCGAGCCCACGTTCACTTGCTGGTCAAAAAAGCTCGTGATTGGCCAAACCTTAACGGGGATCAAAGAGAACAAGGTTGTAGTTTAGTAAGAACGTGAAGGTGAAAGAGACAGCAATATTCTTTTGAGTGTTAAAAGAAAAACTGAATTGCTTTCGTTTTTCAGTTGAATGCCCAGAGTAATCCAGGACTGCATTGGTTTTGTTTACTTTGCTCAGTGATTGGAGCAGAAAACTCGCACCTCTCTCTCTCAACCAATCAGATGCAAAACTAGCACCAATCACGATTGGTCGCCCGCGTTTTCCCGCGCTTTAGGCAGTTTACTCGTTTTAACTTTGAGTTCTCATTGGTTCTCCAGGGTATTTTCCTTTTTTTCTGATTAGCCGTTGTGACGTTGGTTTCCGGTTTCACGACAATCAATTGAAATGATGATTGGTCTAAAATATGCCAATTCCTAAACCAAGCAGATGCAAATTAAAACCAGTCGCAAATCAGTTTACATTTTCTCGTGTTTCAGGAAGTTTTGTAGTTCTTCGACCTCTCAAAAACTCCTTGTGACATTCCCGTTTGTTTTCATTGGTTACTGTGTTAACTTTGCTTTGGCATTCAAGACCCTCTGGCCACGGAAGAACAATTTCCATTTGAGTCCATTGTAATCCGGTAGTTCAATTTCTTTACCTTAATTTAGCTCTGCGAACTAGAAAAGTCGCCCCGCGCCGTCAAACAATCATATGTAAAATTAAAACAAATCGCGACAACGTCACTTGCGTTTTCCCGCGCTTGAGACAATTTTCTTGATTCAATTGTGAATTCGTATTGGCTACTTGTGATATTTCCCTCATTCTGATTGGCTTTGCTTTAAGTTTGGAAACTCAATCGAAAGGCACACAATGATTATTTTAGACGATTAGTTTATTGGAAAGGAAAAAAACTCACCCTTGGCAGTTCTTGCCTGAATATTTCAGTTCCTTGGGAATTAACGATGAGATCAGTAGGCAACCGATCTGTTCTCTCCACGACATGGTTAGACACATGGTTCTCCCTTAAGAATAAATAAATGATTATGATACCAATAACAACGATGACGGTGAAGATAATGATAATTAGGATAAAAATGATAATGATAATAATAAAGATAATAATAACTGTTAAAAGCTCAAGAGACTGACACAATTTTCATCCATTCGATTTTCAAACAGATCAGTTGAACGAGTCGCAGGTGTTCACACGAACAGGCTACTCCTCGGGAACTGGTTACTACGACTAGTCAGCGAATTGTTTCAGGGCGAAACCTCACTTGATAGAACATGAAGAAGTTCATGAATGTGTATGGCTTCATTAACTTACCACTTTACAGTCAGCTCAATGAAGGTTTTCAACTGGGCTTGTCCCAAACATGTCCCACACTTTATTCGGCCGTGGCCATTACAAACCTCGCAACTGCAATCGAAAAAGACTTCTTATGGCATCTTTCTTTAGAATGAGGAGGAATGTTGTTACCGTACCAAGATTTGTCCACCTCTCTTTAAAATCTACAAGAGCTGTGTCAGTGGTTTTGTTGTGTATATTGTTATACCCAAATAAACAAACAAACCAATGAAAACCATGAATAAAGGGGGTTAATTTTGGAAGAGACTGTGGTGCTGCGTCGGTGAGAGAGAATAACAGGGTAATTTAGTGTTATCAACTGAGTTCATACTGCAAATTGACCACCGTAAAGAGTTTAAAAGCAGACATTTCGAGCGTAAGCCCTTCGTTAGAAACGAAATGTCAGCTTTTACACTCATTACGGTGGCCAATTTACGTTATCAACTCAGTTGATAATACTAAATTTTAATGCAAACCATGACAGTTCTGTACTCACGTTTTCCAACCTCTACCCATGCAGTCGGTACACTGCTCTCTTTGCTCCGTTCCTTCAACGAGACCAGAACCCTGGCACCTGGAACATCGCAACTAGAAATAAAGATTAAATATATTGGTAAATAAACATATATATTTATCTTATTAAACGTTTTGGTGTGTAGTATCGCTCAGTATTTTACGAGTCACGCAAGTTGCAAAGAGAAAATCTCAGTCTCCCACGATTGATCAAACCCAAGTTCTTCGGATTTCATGAGGAATAGAATCCTTGTCCTACGGATTTCACGAGGAATCGGAACCCAGATGTTTGAATTTCACAAGGAACTGAATACCAGTTCTTCGGATTTCAAAATGGAATCGAATCCCCGTCCCTCGGATTTCACGAGGAATCGAAACCCAGATCTTCCAATTTCACGAGGAATCGAATCCCGGACCTTCGGATTTCAAGAGGAACCGAATTCCAGATATTCGGATTTCACGGGAAAACGAACACCAGATCTTCGGATGGTCGCGCTCGGATGGTCAACAGCATCGGAGTACGAAATCGAAAGGTTTAGAGTTCGATTCCTCTTACGGAGATTTCTTTTTATTGGTTTCTTACACGGTTGTGAGTAAACAAACAGCATCTTTCTTCGTCAGAAAAGGATACGATAGTAAAAATTTTAGCATCAACCTACCCTTCCACGCCCACAACACTTATAACAGCGCTTGTATCCCACAGCCATACAATCATGACACGGCTACGAATAAACGTGAAATAAAACATCATGAACACAAGATAAAAGTAAAATAAAACTTTTTTCATAATAAATTGGCCACGCTGAATAAAACTGACAGTTTTGAACCTCTCTTACATTTGACCCTGGGGGCGTGTTGACTCTAAAGAGTTAAATTTCTTCGAGGTTGGACTCCAAGTTCTGCAATCAAGCATCGCAACACACTCCATATTCAAGCGTGTGATCAAGTTGGCTGTATACTGGCCAAGTTCGTTTTTGCGTTTTCATGGATAGCTCGCTGAAGTGTTATATTGTTTTTATACTCTGTAGACAAGCGGACTCAAACGCGAAGCGAGCGTGAAGCTTGAATCACGCGCGAAAGGAAGAGCATGAAAAAGTATTATTCCCCCTTTTCGCGCGCGACTCAGCCCAAACGCTGACCCCACCTGAAAATATCCGAAAACGCAAAATATGACGCTTGTTTTGTTTCATGGATCAAGACCACGAAGCATGTTTTTTTTCTTAGTTTTAAGTGTCTTCGAGATGTTTCTTTTGATTTCAATGTTTGAAAAGTACCGCAAAGGATTCTTCTTGTAAAAGGAAAAAAAAAAGGCTTGGAAGTTATGTACTATGTAAACCGTCCACAGGGATTGCTTTTCCTGCGGGTTCGAAACGGGTGATCACGAGTGGTCGGGTAGCCAATAAGAACTCAGGATTCAATTCATCTTTATCCCACGGGGTGCGAGACATACAGTTCTTATTCTTAACCATTTACACCCTAAAATCAGGATGCATATTCTCCATACTGTTCTCTATACATTTCCTAAAGTGCTGACGAGAAGAATTTGTTTGACAATCAAGAACTTCTTTAGTTGGTGATCATTTCCTTTATTCTCGTGACCCTCATGGGTGATTCAGGGGAGATATTGTGAGGAGAAATTACATGCTAGTCACACTTAGGGGTCAAATAGTTCAAAGGGGGCATTGTCGCGTAACGAAAAAAAAACTGTTCATACTTTGATATTGGCGGTGTGAGGAACCTCAATATTGACTGTATGGTCCTTAAACAACTGAGGGGGAATGGCAGGAATGCTCCATGGCGGTGGAGCAGGTCCGTTCACAGGGCTGTCTATCGGCTGACCTGACAATACAAAGATTTTAACCAATTATTCATTCATTTGTTTGCGTTATCCAGACAGGCCGACCCATTTCAGCGTAAGAGCTGGTTTGAATTGGTTGCCTGTATAGACAATAACAAGGCCAAAACACAACACTAGGAGCTGCGTCTCCTTCTCTTTGAGAGAAGCGCGTGTGTTCACTTACGTATAAAGGGGGGTATGTTTCTAGAGAAACCGTGGAAAGAACAACAAGGTAACTTAGTATCATCAACCGAGTTAGCACTTAGTCCTTCGCTCTGACAAAGGGCAAACAACCGAAACGTCAGCTTTGAAACTCTTAACGGTGGCCAATTTACGTTATCAACTCAGTTGATGATACTAAATTACCTTGTTGTTCTCTAACGTCCCCTACTAACCAGTACAGAGAAGATGCAGGAGACTGGGCCTAGCTACGGTTTTTCGTCCTTATTCGAGAAGACTAGATCTCTAATCATATTCGGAAGTATTAGCGATGGCAATACATTCTCCTCGATTATTTTACGACCCTGAGTGTTGGTATGGTTTGCGGCTTGAACTTTCAACCTCCCGCACGGCAGTCCGGCGCTCAACAACATGAACTACAATACTGAAGTTTTTCCTTCTATTTTGAAACTACATTTCTAGGAGGTGTATCTCCGCAAACTGAGACAATTTCCAGAGTAGTAAGCAACAGAAATTCTATGCGTAAAAGAGAATTTTACGAAAAAATTATCAAAATCTAAGCTGTCACAAAGATGTGATACTTCTTAGTACCTCGGTAAGGTTCAAATTTCCACTCAGTTTTACGTGATTCACAGAAACTTTCCAGAGAGTACTGCAAAAGTAAAATTCAATGAAAAGAAACTTTAAAAAAATGCAACACATTACATTCATTTGGTGCTTTGAATGATAAAGATGAAAATCTGAATTCTTTTACTGATTCTTTCACAGAAAAAAAAAAAAAAGAGGAAAAATTAAGATTGACCCTTTCACTCCCCAGATCTGGTTGTTACTTCTCCCCTCTCGCTGCTACACACTTCGTTGTAAATTAGTTGCGAGAATTTGGTGTTAGATCAAGATAACAATTTTTACTTGATAAGTTTGAGTATTCTCCTAACCTGTTTGCTGGATAATGTATGTATATTACTAAGATATCATTACACGTTCATCACCTCTGAGAGTCAAAGAGTTAAAGATGGACACATCAAGAAAAATTGTACTTACATGATAAGCACTTGAAGGAATGACATCTTTAATCACCATTTCCCTCGCTGGAGCTGTTCCATAACAACAGTTTTCACTCACAAACTGAATCATTGCATCTTGAGCTTGGTCATCTGTTATTGCAGTGGCTCTAAAAAGTGCATAAGTATTCAGTATTTGTCATTGCTTTCCATTAGTTCTTTTTCCATATGTGCACTCTTTTTGTCAGACTGGGTATCATTCAGTGATCCTTTGACCCTACTAGCTTATGGTGACTAGTATCGAATTTCTCCATACAATATCACCTGTGAATCACAGATTAATGCCAGGTGAATAAAGGAAATAATCACTAACTAAGGAAGCTCTTGATTGTTACACAAATTCTCCTAATCAGCACCTCTAGGAAATTCATAGAGAACAGTATGGAGAATAAGCATACTCACCTACTGATGATAGGGTGTGATGG